ACCCCTCTGAAAGCGCTGTGTGTTTTTAATTCGAATTTAATTCACACCTAAAATTGAAATTTACTAATTTATAGTTCACACACACACACCCATGTATATAAGTAGAGAGCAAAATTTTGATTTTTCTACTTTTAAACAGACTACGAACCCACCTGGCGCTTCAAGGCCAATGAAAGCGACATTGAGCCCGGGGGTCGGTAGTAGCTCTCCTGGTTCCACTAGGTATATCATCTCAATAAGCTCATTTCTGTTGAGAATATTAGAGAGACTAATTAATATTTTTTATAAGAAACAGGATCCCGCGAAGACGGCAAATGTTGGGTCAGCATACTTACTCTAAACAAAGAGTGACAGACTTACCTTGTCATATTATAATAAAATGTATAAAGCAAGACTTCACGACAAAAAATATGTTATAGGAGGTCTCTCCATAGCCTTCGAATAACCATATACTTTCCCGACAATATACTTTGGCACAGCAGTGTTGCATAAGAGCTCGACTGAAGCCAGCTAAAAACGTGAGATATCGAGGCGGGACGTCTTGCATACCGAACAATGAGAAGAGTGCTAAAAAGACGGTGCCTTACACTTAATTCCAATTGAGACTTTACGCCGAAAGCATTTCTCAAAAAGCTGCAATCTACGAAACAAAATTCCTACTGCCATGACTCCAGTTTGAGCCAGTAGCATTTAGCCGGATAGCCATGCTGTTTTGAATGCACTTTTAGTGCGCTCCAGAGCAACTTTAAAATACCTGACTTGCCTCTTTATAGCATTGAGGCATAGCGGATTCGCTAACAACTGCTTAGCCGTAAGCTTGCAGTAATGACCATCTTTGACTCGATTTCTCCAGAACAGGAGACGTGTCAACTGCTTTTGGTCACTCTCTTTAAACCTGTTTTCTCATGAACAGATGGACCTCATAGTTTAGAACGCAATAGTCTTCTTTCTGGCTTGAGGTGGATCTTGGAAAATCGAAAGATATTTTGACATAAGGCAAATTACATTCATCGCTTCTCGGTTCTCATATCCTTAACGGCCGAAGTGTATTATTTTCTCGGCCTATTGAACGGCACTAAGCTTTTAATCCATCATCCATGAACTATAATAAAATTCTTTAAGTGAGAGCTTATATTGGACTTCTGCTTCCTTTTATTGATTTTCTCTTGATTGATTCTAGATTAGTAGGTGACTAGAGATCATTTCTTAGACTTTTCAATTTTTTCAACTTCTTAAATTTGCATATGCAGATCCCTGGGAAGACCGGTAAAAGCCTCGTTAAACGAGACTTGCTTATATAACAGTTATTCAAGCAAAATATCTCTACAATACATAAATACAAACAAATATTCTTTTCATGCAATATAATCGTTCTTCTAACTGAAATATAATATGATATTGAGCAGCCGATCTGTATAAAATTCAGCATTTATACATATATACTCGTAATATTACATTATACGAGTTGCCACAGTGTGGTTGGGAGACACGCCCTCAAGCATTTCGTACGGCCAAAATGGAAGTGTTGAGGCTTTTAACGTTCAGCATTTGATTGAATTTGATTTTTTGAGTTTTCTAATTTTTTTTTTTTTTTTTTTTTGTATATTTTATTATTCAAATACCATGCGCTATAATGTATGTAATGCATTACATTTTCGATGCCTTTTTAAAAAATGTATGTCATGACTTGATTTTATTACAAAATGTTGTAAACAAAAACCTTGAAGTAACTTTTTAAGTGGATTTCGTGGTTTTAGTTTATTTTGTTTGTACGGTTTTTTTGAAACAAATTGATTTATTTATTTGGCGTAAGTAGAATACAATGATTGAGACTCGGGTAAAGAATTCAAACAATTCAGTCTACTTAAATTTAAAATGATATTTTTTTTTTATAACTTTTTTCATTTTTATTCTTTTCACATTTATTCTTTTGTTTATGATTTACGTGTTCTGTTGCGGATGCCAATGTAAAACAGCATTCTTCCTGCTCATATGTACAACTAAAGTTATTTATTTTGTTTAAGTTTTTTTACTTTATTGACTTATTTTAAATACCAAACTTAATTTAACTGCCATTCGATTCGAGCTGCCAAAAAAAAAATTAAAAAGCATAAATATAGAGCTGAAAATTTTAGTACCTCAATGCTGCTCATAAACTTTTAAGTTTTCTGTTTAAACTTTGTGGCTTTAAGCGGACGCTAAGTCGGTTCAAGGTTATTTCTACTGCCAGCCAGCTCTTTAAGAATATTTTAAACGCTCACTTTTACTGCTCATGACTTGTAATTTTAAAGTAGTACTTTTTATGTGCTATATATTGAAATATTTACTATACAATTTTGCTGGTTTTTATTTACGATTTGCGTGGTGTTTTGATTTAGTTAGTTTCATTCCTTTGATTATATAAGAACCCAGGCATGTGTTAGTATAATACAGTTATTAGGTAACTTGGTTCATAAGCATCAGCAAACATTCATGCTAAGCTAATTATACTTAGGTTTTAGGTATTGTTTATTTAAAAAAGATTGCTGCATTAACTTGTCAAATTTAGTTAATGAAAAATTAAAGCTTTTTTTAATCAACTCTTAAAAGCTTTTAAAAGTAGACATTGTACTCCTTCCCGTAGAGTGTTTACATTGCGATAAAAATTAATAAAAGTCTAGATAAAGCAGGTACAACGCTGTAAATAAAAAAAATTGTTTGTCGTCATTTGCAAATATGAAATTTCGTGCTTAGCAGCAAACCCAGCAAAGTCCGGTGTTTGTTTACGGTGACAGCGAAATTTGATTGGCCAACAAAAAAATGTTTTATTTGTTATGATGTTAAAGCGAATTGACAAATTAAGTAAAAGAATTAAATGAACTAAAAAATATTAAATTTTCAAAATAAATAATTTAAAAACATATGACAATAAAGTTAAAAAAAAAATATTAAAAAAAAAATTAAATTAAAAAAAGTTAAAGAAAACGAGGAATATATAAATACAGTAAGAATGAGATATGATTATATGAATTATAACATGATAATATGAATTATAACATATTATCTATTAAATATGTGATTTTCCACAAGTAAAAAAAATTGTTATTAAAAATTTAATAATCAAAAAAATATATAAAATATGAATAAAAAAACAAAAAGGATTTATAATGATTTTAAAAATATTTTTATTAAAAGAAAAGTAAATTAAAAAATAAATTTATATGTAATTTACCAAAAGAGTTGTTGGAAAAAATATTTGATATTTTAATAAATGTTTTTCTTAAAAAAAAATATCAGCTAATAAAATGCTACACATACTGAAAATTAATTTATAACAAAAATTTGAAGAAAAGTCATTTATGCTGCAATAAGAATTGAAATGATAAGTTATAAATAAAAATGAATTTAAGCCTTATTTTGCTAAAATAATATTGGAGGAAAAACTGTTTGTTATCATAATAATTTTAATGAAGTCCCATATTTATAAATATTAACAATTTTCCTTCCTTCCCTTTTTAATTTTATGATTCAAACAGAAAACAAATGTTTCACCATGGTTTTTTAAAACTTTTATTACTTTTTAATAAAATAGCAAAAAAGATATTTTAGTAATAAAATTTTTGAAAGTAAAAAAAAATTTTTAAAAATAAAATATTTTGTTTACTGTTTGAATCTTATAACTTAATAAAATGAAAAGGAAATTGTTAATATTTAAAAATATCGGAATTCATTAAAATTATTAACCTTCATGAAATTTAATGGGCATGCAGAATATTGTCAAAATTAAAAATTACTCAAAATTAATTCATATGAAAATCTTTAGGGTGAAAATACTGTTAAATTGCCTTTAAAAAGTATTAAAGTAAGAAAAAAAATTATTTAGAAAATATTTAAACTAATCAATATACATTTAATTTAAATTTATAATATTAAATTTTTGTTCTACTTAAATCTTATTGAAGAATTGCAATTATCTTCTTGCCTTCATTGAATTTGAACATTAAGGGTTATACAAATAATTCCCAAAAATGTGTGCCGAGCCAGCAGCTCACCTAACTACTGTTTTTTGGGTCACTAAACTTGTAATTAAGCCAGTTTGCTATTTATTGTGCGCCATTCGCTAGTTTTTAACTTTTTTTTTTTTTTAATTTTTTCTTTTTATTTTGCAATCATTTTTATCGTTTAAATTTTTTCGAAGGTTTTTTAGTTATTATTTTTTAAATTGTACATTTTTTGTACTCTTTCTTAATTTTTAATATCGTTTTTTTTTCTTATTTTTTTTACCAATTTTTTTATTTTTTATTTTTTGATAATCCGCCACCCTCATGGCCATAACTAACGTTGCAAAGTGGCAAATTGAAACAAACAAAAAAAATGTATTGTGTAATTAAATAACCGCTTTAAAAAATTGCATAGTAACCCATTATAGCTGCCAAAGCTTAACTAATTTTCGGTAAAAATCTATGCTTTTTTTCTGCACAAAATCTCAGCTCATTGGCATACAAAATCGCTGAATCGTGCGTTTTGCTATAATGGCTAGCTATTAAAATGATTGAAACGTTTTTTGCAAAAATTTCTAGCTGTCTTGGCGGAAATAATTTTTGGAATTGACCTTAATGCGTTGTTGCTAGACGGACAGGCAAATTATAATTTATTTAATATCACGCAATTTTTATTTGATTTTTCACTTTTAGGTTATTTTTCGTAATTTAATGAAGTATTTATCAATTTGGGGTTTATTTTTTAAGCAAGATTTCAAAAAACGTTCACGAAATTTAAGTAATTTTTTATTAAAATTAGTTTTAATTTGAATAAAAGTTTGATGTTTGAAGCCTTGAACTCTTTATGTTCGAAATTGAGTTACCTCAAATTTTGTTAATTGTGCCCCACGGCAGGTAATATTTTTTTTACGAAAAACCCTTAGAGTGTCTAAGGAGAGTTTTATCTATTTAATATTTAAATAATTGAAGCATAAAAGAACTTTGACTAATTCAAAAATTTTCTTTTTCTTATTCTTACAGTGCATCTGGAACAAGTGCAGTTGCGATCGATAACAAGATCGAGCAAGCTATGGTAAGTTTATTAAACAATTTTGGTAATCTTTGATAAGTTTTTTTTTTACTTGAATATAAAGTAAAGATATGGTGTAAACCTCTTTAAGAAAATAACAAATTGTAAATTTTTGTTTAATTTAATTTAAATTTAATTTTCCATTGCCACTAATTAAAATTAGTAATTAAAATATGTCGGCCAAATATCGCGCCAATTATATAATGTTATATACATATATACATTTTTATTTGTAAATTTAACATTAGTGCACTTAGTACTGAGTGTCTTCAAGCGAATTGACATACTGGGAAGTGATTCACAGTGAACATAGTTGTAAAGGCTTAAAAAACGTTTTTTTTTCGTTTTGTTTTTAATTGACCAAATGCACCTTCTATTGACATACTTGTTTGAAAACAAAAATACGCTGCTTATCATATAACAACTAAATGCTAATTTCAAATATGAATAATACAAAAAGTGGGCTGGGCTATGCTGACAGACTGTCTCGTTGTCTACAATAATTCGAGCCAATAAATATTTTCCAATATAAATATGCATTTATGCGACTGAACGAATCAATCGACTTTGAATGGATGAGTGCAATGCTTCGCTACAATCAATACTCAGTTTTACATTAGTACTTATGTAGTATATACCCTGCAGGACTAGTTCATCTTCCATCTATCTTCCATGTAAACAATTGGTATTTTTAACACGGCGATGTCTTCCGAACTAGGAATTGTCATTCTGTGCATCAGTTCCATACTAGTTAAATAACAGTCGATATATGCCAATTAAAATATTAGTACGTTCATACCAATTGAGAACTAATTGGGAACTAGTTCGCCTCAGACCAGTCTGCAGTCTAGCAAAAATAAAAAGGTAACTCTGTACTTGAAGCTTAGCACTGTTTATAACTTTTTACATTGAAGCAAAATATGAAAAAATACAATAATATGTGGTTGTTTTTGTAGCTGCAAGTCTTAAAATGTGTGGTCGGAACTTCTAGTTACTTAAGAGTTCTGCTTCTTTTTTTCTTTTTTGGAAAACGTCAAATTGTTATGAATTTGTACGCAAGATACAAAGTTCCTGCACTAGAATTTTGGCAAACTAATCCAGATTTAACCGAAAAATACTAGTATAATTCTAGTCTCTGACATACTAGTATATTATTGTCCTTTAAATGCTAGTTTAGTTCTGGTATACAATAAAGTAGTATGCTTTCGGCTTCAAAATACTAGTATTAAACTAGAATTCTTGCATACTAGTCAACCTTTTCCCTGCAGGGTATGCATGTATGTATGCATCCAAAATATAGAATAAACGTTGACAATACGATATTTTGATTGCTCTTTGTTGAGCATGCAAAGTGTCAACAGCAACAACAGGTAATTTGCTGTTGCAAGCATTCAACTGCATATATGTATATTAATACATTTCGTACATATTTACAATAAGCACAAGTATACATATGTACAAAGGTGTGGTTTATAATGGCGCTATGCGATTGTATCACGTTGCAAACCAAACGATTTGCAAATAAGTTCAATAATTTACAATATATTTGACATTCACTTCGGTTCTCTAGTTGACGATTATGTTGCAAACACTTTATTGCTTATGTAATGAATGGATTTGTGGGCACTGGAAATTGAAGAAAACGTTATGTATATATATTTAGGTGAAAAATACAATTCTAGTAAACAAAAAAATTATCGAAACAAATTTATTTTGCGATGTGCGATTGAGTATTATGGTCAAAAATATAAATTTTAGTGTTTTGATTATATGAAATACTACTAAATTTTAGCTGGAAGAAATTTTCTCGAAATCGATTGAAAATTTTAATATTATAGTTTCCGCGCTAAACTGTGCTCAGAAGAAAAAAAATTAAATGATCGAAAATATGCAGTTACGATTTAAATATACTGATATATTAATTTTTGATTTTTGTCAACATATTCTTCGATATTAATTTTGGTTTTTTAGTTTTTAAATATATTTTTTAAATTTTTTTTTTTCAAATTAATTAATTTATTTTTTTACTTAATTATATTTTATTTATTTTTTTACTTTGTTATTTTTTTTATGTTTTTATTGATTGTCCATTTTTTATCTTTTACTTAATATATTTTTTTAATATTATATAATTTTTTTAATATTATTTTTAAAATTTTTATTAATATATTCTTTCAACATTTTTTTTAATATTTTTTTTTACATTTTTTTTGTTTTTAATTTTTAAGTTTAGTCTTTTTTTCTAATTCCGGTTAATTTTTTTTTTTTTTTTTTTTTTTTTTTTTTTTTTTTTTTTTTTTATTTTTAAGTTTAGTCTTTTTTTCTAATTCCGGTTAATTTTTTTTTTTTTTTTTTTTTTTTTTTTTTTTTTTTTTTTTTTTTTTTTTTTTGTGAAAATTGTTATTCACGTTTGCGTTTTTCGGCCGAAAAGCCAAACCATACCTAAAAATTACAGATCTGGGTATGATATCTAGACTCGCATTTCGAGGCCATTTGAACTTCACAAATCTGAAGCATGCTCTATATGTAAGCTTTTATGCGACATTTAAACTAAAACTTTTTTGACCCTTAAAATAATGACTTTCACTTTACACCTCCCCATTTCGCGCCAAGTTGGACTTCACAGCCATTAAAATTAACAATTTTGTAAATGAATTTATTTTTCATAACCTCTTATCAATTTACTTATTTCGAGATTGCATTCAAAATTCTTTTGTATTTAGATCAATTTTTGTTTTTGTAATTCCCATTGAAACCATTTTTATTCTCTGAATTTTCATTGTTTCTTTGATAACTCAAAGTCGGCGCACAAGTAAAAATATAAATTTATATGCCTTTTGTATCTATTATAGACATGTTTAGCGATCTTCTATCTACGCTATATACTCATATATGCATATGCATAAGTAACTTCTAGAATACCCACAGACGCTGGTAAATCATCTTCAACTGCTTTCATCCGGCACTATTTTTGATCAATTAAAACGCGCCATTTAATTTATCACTTCACTTTTAAGCATAAAAATCATTTCTGCAGCAACAGTCGCCCATTGTATATATATATATGTATATGTATATATGAAAGCAAATTTGTGTGCACTGACCACAACCGGCAGCTGATGACCGTCGCGTTCACTTGCATTATGGTCTAAAGATAGATTTCCCTTTTTTTCTGCTTACGTTTGTTAACTTCACTTTGTGCATCGACGACTATGTGTGCCTTAACTGAATGCAGAACAAGTACTTTTGCAGTACATATGTATACACGTATGTACATATTCCCTGACTCACGCCCAACAAGCGCATTTACCTACCCCCATCCGGCATGCACTTTTATTGCGGGTTTATCTTTGCGCTGCTGGTGTTGTTGAAAGAGACATTGTCGCTAAAAATAGCTTTAATGAATTCGCAATAGCAATTTAATTTAGTTCATTGGCTTAAGTTGAGTATCTGTGTCGCCAGCAGCAACAATAACTGCAACTAATATTCAACATCTCAGCTCCACATCATATTTTTACTGTATGTACATATGACATGTGGAATATGAATACAATCTCACTTTACTTGATGTCCATTCGTTTGATCGTTATTCATACATTCGTTGGTTGTTTGATTGACTGGCTGCCGTGCGTTTTCGGTCTGATTGTCCATTGGCGGCTGTCAACGTCATTATTAATTCGAGTCATTTATAGCGCCTATCTCTTGTTGCTGATTTGTTGCGAGTATACGAGTATGCACGTATGCACGTAAATCTGTCTCTTTATTATTTTCTTTTAAAGTTTATATTTTTTTCTTTTGCGATCAACTTGTTCTGCAGACATTTATGATTCCATGTCTATAACTCTCTACATTGTGTACATATATATTTATTAAGAAACGTACCGGCAGCTGTTGTCTGGCTAGCCAACTGCTTGGTTGCATCCTCGTCATACATATAAATATACTTGTGTTGTTACCGCTTAGTTTACGCTAAATCATCTGTTGGCTTCCATTCAGTTTTCCACAATTAAATGAATGACAGACAGCTCCAAGCATCATCAGCTACCAACCATGTTGGCCTGTAAACCAGAAAAAAAGAGACCTAAAACAAATGGCAACAGAAAAAAAAACTCGGTCCACAGAACTTTCCCGTTTCATTGTTGTGTGCAAATATATATATGTACATACACATCGTTTCGAGTCTTCTGCAAGTGTCTCTTCTTTTTCTTAGAACTCTACGCATCTTACATTGCTTCATGGCGCCATGCCATTTCAGGTGCTTAGATTTCACTTATTTCTGTGCGTTTCTTTCGCCACAAGACGCACGCAGTTGTCTGGCACAGCTATGTTGCGAAAGTGAAGTTTTTATCTATTTGAAATGCACAGATTGTGGCAAGTTCCAGTATTTTCCATTACAATTTCTCTTGTACACTACATTTTTAAGGCATTCGCAAGCGGATTTGATGGAAAATGTGAAATTTTTCTAATTGTTTTTTTTTTTTTTTTTAATGAAAACAACAAAAAAGACTGCTCGGTTTGTATTCTATTTTGACCACTAATTTGTGGCTTTCATTCTCTTAACTTTTTTTATTTTAATTTTTATGTTATTCCATTTTAATTCCTTTATATAATTAATTTGGTATTTTATTTTAATTCAATTAATTCATTTTTTGTTTAAAATAATTTGATTTTTTTTTTAACTTATTTTAGTTTAATTTATTTGCTTCTTATTGTAAATGTGATTAGTTTTTATTTTAATTTTTTTTTTTAATTTCTAATATTTATTACCTTTTAATATTTTTGTTTTTAAAATTATTTTTTTATTACAAGAGGGCAAGCGACTTCGCATAGAATTTTCAAATGGTTTTATAAGATTTTTTTTATATTATGGTATTTATTTATTATGTATGTTCTACTTAATATTGAGAAAAAGTGTTCTCAATAGTTACTAGAGCTCTAGGTATTACTGTACCAATTTTTATGTAGCTATGTAGGTCCTAGATCCACCTACCGGAAAAAGCATT